TTTTGCAGCAATAACAGGCCGCAACTTTTGAATCAGCCGGAGTTTATTAGGGTTAAATAGGGAGTCTGGGAGGAGATGTAGGTATGTGCATCTCGAAGTTCCCCGATGATGCAGGTTAAAAAAAATTCCTGATTATGAAGCCACTTTTGTACGTCTAGTTCCGAAATGCTAGATTTTCGAGCGCATATGATAATTTATTTAAACGCCCTCCAAAACCTAAAGCAGCTGCTTCTCAAACAGCTACGCTAGTGGTTAAAGCGCATATGCATATTTATTTGGTTCTAATATCCTCATTCTCACTGTTCCAAAGTAAGTGAGAAAAATGACGAATTTTTCCAGCGGTGGTACGACGGTCAAATGAAAATGATCAACGACTGGCTAACTGAGCGCCTGCAGCAGTCCCTTTCGTCGTACCAATTAACATGTCTTTCGTTCATGGTCAAGGTAAACTCATTTATTGTCAAGCAATCAATTCTGGATTTGCATGCACCTTCATCCCTTTCCCCCTCCCTTTCCCCTCTCTTATGTGCTCCCGGTGAATCGCATCTCTACCATTACCGGGTATGTCAAGAAAATCTCAACCTGCATCCCAAAGTTTTATGGATTTGCCTTAAATTTACGCATTTTTTGATATGTGTACCATACGCATTTTCCAGAAAATATATTCGGATTCGGAGTTGCAAGGAATCGACGATGAACGATTGAACAGCAAAATTTACCAGTCAATAACAAGGCGATTGCAAATTGAAGAGGCAAACAGTGCGCTAAATGAGAGTACCTCGGGGCACGCAACCTCATCAATCAGTAATCATGCACTCATTGATAACGCAACCCAGGCGGTCACTAACGTTGGTAGCTTAGTGGAAGGCGCTGGTGCTAAAATGCTTTCGCTTTTCAGGTAGTCCCCAGACTTCGCCCGCTAGAGCAGAAATGATTCCCCGGCTCGAATATGAAGAAATCCAAGCAAGATGTCATTTTCATTAAGTACTTCACGTGCTTCATGATGAATGACAAAACGGAGGCCAAAATTTTTACACCTAGAACCAGTATCTTTCCATCGCCACTGCAGCATTCAAGACCAAAGTCAGGATCCTCGCGCCAATTGCAAATTCAGTGCCGGTCAGTCTGTAGTTTCCTTGTATTTTCGGATATGAGTGATATCAGACACG